GTATACTTTGTTTCTCATTTTTTTTTCAGGTTGTTTAAAGTTAAAGATTATAAGCCTTGTTAATAATATATGTTTTGGATTTTACCTCATACTTAACAACTTAAATTAAAGAAATTATTAAGAAACTAAGGTTCATACTCCCTCAGGAAAATTTGACCTTGGATGACTTTGTCTATTTTTTTTAGGTCTTTTTCGGTCCTTATGCTCTTCACGTGTTTTGGTTTTCTATATTCTCAACTTTCAAATGCTACATTTCCCAACTCATTCGGTATTCAAGAGCTTGCAGCTGCTACTCGGACTTTGTAAAACGTCACCAGTGTCTGAGCAGAAAGTTGATGAACCAAGGGTATGTCAAAGAACGTCTCGTCCTTTTTCTAAAAATGTTCATCGGAAGATACCAAGACCTTGTTGATAAATATTCCGTTTCAACTTCACAAATAATACACGATGGTCTTGAAGTATAGATTCTAGGTACTGACGTTGTTTATCATCTGAATAACGTGTTATAGTATTCTTTTATTTGTCTTTGTAATTTATTACTTTTACTGTTCATCCTATTTTGGCAGTATCCATTTGACGTGGCTCGGTACTTGTACATCCCGTCATTGTGTTGTTGTGCTATGATAATTTTTTTTTTTTGTATTCTTGTCTTTCGTTTTTGCTAATGTGCTTTGTCTATATGCCTTTTTGTTTGTCTTTGTTGACATATTTGCTTGTTTTTGTAGTGATTCATTTGACGTGGCTCGGTACTTGTACATCCCGTCATTGTGTTGTTGAGCTATGGTAAATTTTTGTATTCTTGTCTTTCGTTTTTGCTAATGTGCTTTGTCTATATGCCTTTTTGTTTGTCTTTGTTGACATATTTGCTTGTTTTTGTAGTGATTAAGATTATAACACAATGTTGACTGCTGTACCCCTATTTTTGACATTTTTACCTATTATGTCTGTTTGTTTTGTTCACACATCGTTGTCAGACCTTACCTTGAAAATATGGATTGTCACATTTTTTTAATATTGCTTAACTACAAAAAAGAATACATTATCTTCACGACAGAAATAAACTATTAATAAAGAGAATCCAACAGCATTAAAGGGTTAGTTAACTCTTAATAAATTGTCATATAAACTAGATAACAAATTGCTTAGACACATTTTATGACCCCTTTTCATAATGAACGTAAAACTAAAGTCAAATAAAATAATTCTTTTGAGGAAAACCAGTATTAAAATATATAATTTGCAAGATAGAGGTCTCTTTCGGTCATTAAGTTGTTCGCTTGTTTGGGTTTTGTTTTCTAAACTTTCAAATGCTTCGTTTTACGTGTTCCTAGTGAAGGCAAATCCAGAAAAGTGTTTCAGACGCACGAAATTAATAAAAGTGTATTTTCATTGATCAACAAAATCAGCAAAATGAAGTGTTTTACAAATTTTATATCGACAGGTGATCTGTTTTATACTACAGAACCAATCAAGATTAAATATTTCACTATTTGCACCTTCATATTGAAGACTTACTTTGTAGAATAGATATCACTTTGTTTTTCATTCCTTACCTTGAAAATATGGATTGTCACATTTTTTTACATATAATTGCTTAACTATAAGAGTTAATTATCTTCACGACCGAAACAAACTATTCATAAAGAGAATCCAACAGCAATAAAGGGTTTGTTAACTCTAAGTAAACTGTCATATAAACTAGATAAAAAGTGACTTAGACACATTTTATGACCTCATTTCATAATGAACGTAAAATCTAACGTCAAATAATACCATTCTTGTGAGGAAAACCAGTATCAAAATATATAATTTGCAAGATAAAATTAGTACATTAAAATGTTATTTGTTCGGATTCTCCCATAAGTTCTACATTTAAGTGCAAAGACACCAGAATTGTTCAAGATTATAAGCCTTGTTGATAATATATGTTTTGGATTTTCCCTCATACTTAACGTCATGATTGTTTACAAACTTTTCTATAATTCTTCTTTGATTAATAAAGAAATTATCAAGAAACTAAGGTTCCAACTCCCTCGGGCAAATTTGACCTTGGATGACTTTATCTATTCTTAAGGTCTCTTTCGGTCATTAAGCTGTTAACTTGTTTTGGTTTTGGTTTCCCAACTTTCAAATACTTCGTTTTACGTGTTCCTAGTGGAAGCAAATCCAGAAAAGTGTTTCAGACGCACGAAATTAATATAATTTTATTTTCATTGATCAACAAAATCAGCAAAATGAAGTGTTTTACAAATTTTATATTGACAGGTGATCTGTTTTATACTACAGAACCAATCCAGATTAAATATTTCACAATTTGCACCTTCATATTGAAGACTTACTTTGTAGAATAGATATTACTTTGTTTTTCATTCCTTACCTAGAAAATAGCTATTGTCACATTTTTTACATATTGATTAGCTATAAGAAGAGTTAACTATCTTCACGACAGAGGCAAACTTATCCATAAAGAGAATCCAACAGCAATAAAGGGTTAGTTATATAACTCTTAGTAAACTGTTATATTAACTAGATAAAAAATTGCTTAGACATATTTGATTGACCCATTTGATAATGAACGTAAAAACTAAAGTCCTATAATACCATTATTTTAAGGAAAACCAGTATTAAACTATTATATGCTGGTATATAATTTGCAAGCTATAATTAGAGTATTAAAATTTTATTTGTTCGGAATCTCCCTCAGTTATACATTTTTAAGTGCAAAAACTCCAGAATTATTGGATAAATCTATATTAATAAAGATAAATAGAGAAAGTGTCCATGGGACACAGATGATGCCCCCGTTTGCAAATAATGTTATAAAGGGACCAAAACTCAAGAACGGTAAAAGTGACGCCACCCAAATTCGAACTTGATCTGAGTTGTGTTGTAATAAGCATTATGTATAAGTTTCATAACATTTTGGTCAAGCAAACTAAAGTTAGAAAACAGACACCAATTTTGGGACGTACGTACGGACGTACAGCCGTAAGGACGGACGTACAAATGGTCAAGGGTAACACTTAATATCCCCTCCGCTGCGGCGAGAGCATAACAAACAAAATAAGAAATTGGTTTAAAGATGGAAAAAAACATTATGACGCTTTTATTAAACTTTGAGCCGTCTTTTACTTCTTTTTTCAAGTTAATAGTCATCCTGGTTAGTGCGCTGTGCATGTTTTTCATTGTGGGTCTTACTTTTACTACATATCGACTATATTGGCAAAGGTTGTTGTTGCATGTCTTTTGGTTGTAAGTTGTTGGGGTTTTTTTTATCAACTGGAAGATATACAAGTTACGACGTACGTGCTGCGAATGAGCTACATATTTTTTTTTATATTTTAAGCTGGTTACCGTAGTATTTATGAATCGGACCTGACTATATATCTGTTGGTCCTTTATTTCAAAAAAAAAAAAGAAACTACCAACATTGTAATCAAATAAACTCATTATTAATATCAGGATTAACATTTAAATATTATACGCCAGACGCGCGTTTCGTCTACAAAAGACTCACCAGTGACGCTCGAATCAATTTTAAAAGGCCAAATAAAGTACGAGTTGAAGAGCATTAAAATAAAACTTTGTTTTATAAAGAGAAGATAGTAGTGGTTATTGACGAATAATGCTGACTATTATTTTCTTTTTAAATACATGCTATACAATATATGACTTGTCACTTCCTTAAACAAGAAAAAAAGTAAAGATTAAAGAGGTATGATTTTTTACCTTGACAAAACGGGAATTTTATCCGACAAGACAATAATTTTCGATTTAAAACTCAAGTACAATGTACATATATTCTCATTTGAATTGTTTTACATTTGTCATTTCGGGGCCTTTTATACATTGTAGCTGACTATGCGGTATGGGTTTTACTCATTGTTGAGGGCCGTACGGTGACCAATAGTTGTTAATTTCTGTGTCATTTGGTCTCTCCTGAAGAGTTGTCTCATTGGCAATCATACCCTATCTTCTTATTTTTATATGAATCGGTGCTGGATGAAGGAGGATATCTTTTACCAATTTTACACGCATTCTCAGTGAAAAATTTTACTTAATTCAATAAATCATCTTCAAGCGAATAAACCTATCTCTCAATTTGAATTTATTGTAATCATAAGTAATAACCTTAGCAATGACTTGCCAAAATATTGTGATGTCCAGTTCAGAGGAAGCGCTACACAAAAATGTTTTTTTCTAATATTCTTTTCTCTGATTTCACTTATTTCATAGCCAATAAATACCACGAAGAAAATCACATTAAAATGTGTCACGATTTTGTGGAATTGTCTCAACCACAACAGAAGTTTTGCAAGCTGTTGAATATATTAATACTAATGATATTTCCATAAAAAGTAGTAGCAATCCTCTTTCTCATAATCGTGTCATTTAAAACAGAAAATAGCAACGATCGATACCTTTATCAAATTTTATTGACAAGTGCATCGAAGTTGTCAATTTCAGGTAATTAATTTACCTTTACCATTGATTTGAAATGATAGTTTCCCCTGAATAAAAAGAAAATGTTGCCCTTAAACGTGTGAATTACGGGACGTTTTATTTTTTTATCCTGATATTAACATCGATAAGGAAATTGAAAACAAATATCGCATGTACCTAGAAATGTGATTTCATTCTATTCAGAAAATAATTATTGTGACACCCACCACTGTTCTATGGTTCATTTATTTGTGAAGAACTGATTAACTTATCGTTCTTTCATCTTTGCTTTGCAAGGAATCTATCCAGCTGCAGTGCTGTTAAAAATGTTCAATATTATTCAGAGTACATTCTTACGGCTGTAACTGAAGCATAATCTGAACATAAAGTCATAAAATGGAGTTTTGTTGTAATAACGACAGGATACCCGCTCCACGCACTCCTGAAAGATACATGACGCAGCAGACCGTAACCGTGATTGGATTTCAATCAGTTAAAATATTGACTGAATGTTAATTTCAAATATGAACAATATAGTGCTTGTCATTATTGCTGAAACTGATAGGCCGATAATCCAATAATTAAGTCGGATCGTAGGTGTGGAGAAAAATATAATCAAGTGCATGTAAATTTAAAAGAAACGTTTAAATACGCTTTTGACTAACCAACAACGAGATCTTTATTGAATTATTGGTAATTTACACTTAACGGTATTTGGGGTCCGGTTAGCGTTATTATATGAACATATTGAAATATTTGCTTTCATTTGCTACAGGCTTTATATACTGATCCGACCACACGAGGATTTTAACAAATATCAATAATGAAGTAAAACTCCAGGAATTGGTTTTCAATTGGAAAAATATTTTATTGTTGACTTCTGTCGTATTCACAGGTGTTACGATATGAAACAAGGAAAATGTAATAATACTTTATAAACTGGAAAATAAATTGTAAATTTATAACTTTAACTCTAAGAAATGATTTTTTCACTTGGATAAGGATACATTATGAGATTCTATTTATTGTGTTTACTAGTCCTATTTCAAGGTAAGTCTTTGCTATTTCTTAATTTCAAAAATTGTAGACAAAATCAATGAATTGTTTATGTTTTTATTTCTTTAATGTACGATACTGCACTGAAACGTCCTATGATTCACTGAATTTCATTAATTACATTCAAGTCATCACACCTGAAAGGATTCGCATGTGGAATTCTGAATACATAAATTGGTTTGAGGATATTGGAAATATTAACTATACAATTGAACACGCAATGCAAACTTGATATTAGCTTTATTTTTAGGTACTCGTATTAAATTCATGTAATAACACATGTAGTTTAAAAATAGTAGCTTTGTCATACGCCTCACACAAGTTCGCGAATATACTGACATTTAACTCCCAGTGTGAATACTATCTTGTATCACCACACATTTTGATTATTTTAAGATAAGTTATAGGGCCTCAGTGGCCGAATGGTCTAATAAGTTGTTTATACTCAGTGATCGCCAGCCTGTCAACTCTGAGGTTGTGAGTTGCGAGATGTGTTCGATTACGATTATTATAGACAGCGATTACCAGTTTTTCTGTCAAAGGTCGGCGGATCTTTCCAGGTACTCCTGTGCTTTCTCCAACAATACAGACCTGGCCGCCATGATAAAGCCATGGTAGCTAGACGTGGCGTACCGTTGTTCACCAACAAACACACAGATGTGTTATTACTTTTTAGTCCAAAGTGGAAAATGTGGACATCTTCGAACTGAGATTAAAAGTTACATAACGATCAATTTACAGTCTTTCACGACAAGAAAAGTATTCTTAACTTTTTATTTACTCGAGCGTCACTGATGAGTCTTTTGTAGACATGGTATCTTGATGCGTTAACTAGCATATATACAATATTCGTACAGTGTAGGAAAATATAACATGTATTTGTACTGGCTGAGATACAGGAGAAAAGCTTTTATATTTTTCTACTCTGTACGAATATTATTTTTATCCTGCAATTTAACATTGAGCTTAAACTTATATTTTTTTTTCCAATCCCGATCGTTGAATTTGTTTTTGAAGGAAATCGGCACGAGTTCAACGTGAACCCGCAATGATGACCCCAAATTGAACTGTGATGTAAACAGTAATTTGAACATAACCGTTCGCTCACATCAGAGAGCAGGGTACCAGGAGACTGTAAACGTATAATTCACGTTTATCGCTTCATGTTATCTGCCACCCTGTATTTGTATAGAAGAAAGGTCGATTGCACGATTAATAAAGATAACAGCCCTACAAATGTAAAATCTACCATTTGGATGATATTGACCTACACATGCGAAATAGTAATTGAAAGAGAGAAAAAAAACAACACAAAAGCAAAACATGCTGCCGATCCAAATACCAACCAATCATTTCAGTTATCTAAATTTAAAAGTTGTTCATCAAATGTTAGCTAAACTTTGCATTATGGACTACTTTCAATTATTAATTGATTGATTTTTGGTGTTTAACGCCACTTTCAGCACTATTGACTATTTCGTGGAAGTCAGTTTTATTGGTGGAGGAAGCCTGAGATCACGGAGGGAACGATCGACCTTCGGCAGGAAAACAGGCAATCATTGTCTATTAAGTTTAGAGTCGGACGCCCCTGCCACGTGCAGGGTTCGAACTCACAACCTCAGTGTTGACAGGCTACTGATAAAGTAGATGCACTACACAGACCACTCGGCCACCGAGTCCTCTATCTTTCAGTTATGTAGGTTGTTGTTCAAATAACGTTTCCCCTATTTTTTAATACTTTGGCAACCTACATTTATTTAATAAGATAATATTCATATATTTTGCTACAATTTCATGAAATATGTTTACGCATCGTAGAAATAAGTGGTACAAGTTATTACAACGTTTTACCTTAAAAGGTGGAATTGACTTGAAACATTGACCTAATGAATTCAGCTTGGTATATCACAATGTGTTTATTTAGTTAAGCACACTGCTGTGCCACTCTGTTCAAACGGCATACTCATTAATATAGTTTCTTCCTTTTCAACTTAGAAAGAACATAAAAATATTTTAAATGACTAAGTAATAAGTTAATAAACCGTTCAACGAAACAGAAATCCAAACAGAGTATCCTAAAATTGTAGAAAAAAAAAGATTTTTAGCTTTCCTAACATATTTTCACAAATCTTAATGTCACTATTTTTAATAACAGAGTCAATCAGAAAACATTCCCTGACGTAATGAATTCAGTTTTAATGTTAGCAACGGTACCAGCGAATTGCTTTTAGTATGGAAGTCTAAGGTTTTGGAATAATTTTCCATTTTTAATAAGGCAATAACGAATAGATTCGTAAACTTCATTAAGAACTACGTTTGATAAATAACACTTGACCTTAAGAGTGTCTGAAACTATTAAAAAACGAATATAAGAGTTATCCACAATTACATGATGTTGATCAATAATAAGACAGTGGGTTAAAACTGACTTCTGCATACCATTCTTCAATCAGCTGTAACAAATAGTATTAAGTCCCAAGGTAGTACTTATACATACTGAGAAAAAAATAAAGTTATTATACGTTTTATTATTTATTTGTTCATTTATTTGGGCTTAATGTCATTTCCTTTACATTCGTAAAATATGACGGTAATATTTATACGCTCTAAGAAAACATAAGGTTATTGTAAGTTTTATTATATATTTTTTTCATTTGTTGGGGCTTGATATCATTTTCTTGACATTCGTTGAATATGACGGTTAATCTTTCTGTTGGAAAAAACCAGAGTGCCCAGGATAGCGTCCAACCTTAAGCATGTAAATTGAAGACAAATCTGTTAAATTATCGATAAATCAAGAGTAGCTTGCAATTTTTTGCAATGATCGTATAGATAAAAAAAAACTTAAGGTATTTTAACGAGTAAAGTTAGTTCATCTCCAATTACCGCTTTCAACGGAAGCCTCTGTTTATATCAAGTGTACTCAGGAACGACAAAATGTATTTAAAATTATAGAATAAAATCGAAAATCTGAAATTGCACAAAAGAACTAAAGTGATATTTAAAAGTCGTAAAGATTGAAAGAATTGTTACTTACAAACTCAATTTATGCAGAAGATATCAACATGTCCTTAACGATTATTACGTCACATTGCGCGCTTCCATTTACAATCAAATATAGTAATTAGAATTGAGAGAATTTTTTTTTTATTTTGTCATGTCATGACTTTTTATAGCTGACTATACGGCATGGCTTTGCTCATTGTTGAAGACCGTACGGTTGCCTATTATAATTGCTTACATCCACTTTATTGGACTCTGATGAATAGTTTTCTCATTGCATTGGCAATCATACCTCATCTCCTTATTTTGTAATGCAGAATTAACATACCAATAAAAGGATAGACTTGTGCTGCGTTAATGTCAAAGAGACAAAACTCACCGATACAAAATAATAATGAGCATTTAGGGTTTATCATACGGTCTCCAACCATATACAGATGTCTTTATAAAATGTTAAGCTCGTAACCGCCCCAATAAAGCATATGCTCTTATACACAGGACAGTCTGAGAACAGAGTTAATCTTTAGTGGTTTTGTTAGTTGTTTTTGTGCTTTGTATCGTTCTGATGAGTTTAGCCCTTTTCGACTGATTTTCATAGTTTGTTCGTATGTTGTACTGTTACACAACTTTCCAATTCAGGGGCGTTTTAAATTTATTCAGTGGTTGTCGTTTTTAGCTGTATATCATATTTGTTTTTCGTTTATTGTTTTGTACAAAAGTCAGCCCGTTAATTTTCTCGTTTGAATTGTTTTACATTTGTCACTTCGGAGCCTTGCTGTGGGGTATGGGTTTTGCTCATTATTATAGTCCGTCCGGTGACATATAGTTGCTTTTCTTCTACCTTATTTGGTCTCTGGTGGAGATTTTTCTCATTGGCAATCATACCACATCTTATTTTATTTATTATTCATTTGTTTTTGTTTTTTGTTTTTGTGACATTAAGGCAGATGTGACAAATGTAACAGACAATACTGAGGAATCAGCGTATGTCTCAGCATGAATGAATAAATCAAAATTAAGCCATTCAGAATTTCATTCTTAGAGATTCGATTCTCAGATTGTGTTCATTTGTAGTGGGAATAGGTCAATTAAATCTCGAGAGCTTGGAATATTTTACCATGCTTAATAAACAGAAGAACACAATTAGTTTACCATGTCAAAAGAAAACATGGAAAAATATAATAACAAAATGGATGTGTTTTATATAGAAATCTAAGAATGGAAGACAATTATAACAGATATTCCCTTACATAGCGTGATTTTGTATATTTATCACTATTCACTTAATATAGTAAAAGACAGCTGAAGCTTTTGTTTCTTAACGATATGATATAATTTCCCTCTTATGAAAACTATATTTAGCTTCATCCTAATAACAAGATGATGAAAGTTGACAAAACTTTTAGAAAAACATACAGTCGGTTATAATCTGAAGACAAATTTGTCATTAACAATACAAGCAAATGGAAAAAATTCCCTTGACATTTCATAAAAGTCAATGACGGAAACGAACACGAAAATATTTCTGTAGAATATTTTACAGTCATCCAATAAAATATATGCAAAGCCAGACATCAAAAGAATGAGGAAACTATAAATTCGTTGCAGATCAAGCAGAAATATAATTGACTTCCATAAATAACAAAAGGATGAAATAAACTAACATGCTATATAGTGTTTTCTTTCACTGCATAAAACATATAAAACATCTAGTATTGCAGTCTTTTTCAGTTGTATAGTTCTTCATCATTGTTAAATGTTTTTGCTTTTCGAAAATCCTCAGCACCGTCTGAACAACATTACAATTGCATCGAGCATCATTTTAAAGACATTTTTAAGTGCATTTTGGGCATCAAAATTGGCACGTATTTCTGAAATAATCTTAATCAGGTGCGCTTAAGACAAATGCGTTTAGAAGCCAAATGTATAAAGTGTCTGTGAGTATCAAAACAAAACGTGCCTAGACAAAAAAGCGAAGAACGTCTTAAGTC